CCCCCCCCCCCCCCAGCAGTTTACTCCAAAGTGGAACAAACCAGTTTTGTTGGTGCTAAGATGGTCTCTTTGGTACGCCCCCCTCCTCCATTGCCAGCCCTCTTCCTTGTTGACAGTCGTGTCAAACTGGTCGAAAACCAGTTGGATGTTGTATTGTATACCTGGATTATTGAGCATGGACTTTGTTGTTCAAAATAAATGTTTCTCAAAATGTCAGATGCATTAATATTGCACCGTAGGTAAAAAAAATATAGAAATCACGTCCATTTTTATATATAATAATGTGTGGCAGCCTCATTAATGTAAGGGTGATAAATCAGTATTCATTTTTCCACAGTTTTACAACAAAACATGAACATAATTGATCAATACTTCAATACTACTTTGCTTTTGTATAGCAATTTTGTTTGGAATATATTTTGTGGACAAGGGGCAGATATAAGAACTCATTCTTCTTCTGCTGCCTTTCATTTTATTTCTGTGATTGTATATCTTTTTTTTTCTTTAAATTGTACTATATTTGTTGTTTGGATGAAATGAAATGAATAAATAAAACATACATACAATATTGTTTGTGTCTGCCATGTGTTTTGTGGCACATGCGAATGTTTTCGGGGAACACCGTGTGGGCGGGGCTTTGTTTTTACTGCGAGCTATTAGGGCACCGCCTTCAGCAGCCCCATCACGGTGTGCGCTGGCGCAGTAAAGGAGCGCACCACGTAACGTTAACCGTGTCCAATCAGCGCGGTGAATGATGGCGATGTCTGTGCTGTGTGTTAGCAGCTACGAGCAGGGCTAGACAGTCAGTATGGCGGAGAGGAGCAAGGCAGACGATTCAGAGGGGCTAGAAAAACAGTTAGAGAGTCTGTTAAGCAGCTACACAGGTGACGAACTCGGACTCGACAGCGAAACGTTCTGCGCTGACTTTTGTAAGGTAAGGAGCCGGAGACGATGTGTTGTCGAAGATAAGAGCGTAGATGTTAGCCGACTCCCCTCCCCCAGAACTGGCAGCTAGCTGTGCTAGCAGCGGAGCTAAGCTACTTTACAATATTAACGAACATTTTAAACATTATAGCTGATATCCGACGCTCGTATAATGATAAGACATTAAAACAAAAACAGGAAGTCAGTCAAAACTGTAATAAATGCTCTGGGTTAAGCTACGACGGATATTTGCTAATGCTAACTGTCCAGCTAGCCCAGTGCACTTTCAAGTTTACCGTTTGCTGTTTTTAATGTTAAATAAACTGACAACTGGCTGCAGCAAGCACTTATTCTTAATTTTTTTACTACATTAGCTTAGTGATTTTATTATTTTGTTTCCCTGTAAAATACATCTGGCCACAAAGGCTGGTTTCGATATTACAACCTTTAAATATCAAGAAGCGTTACAGGGAAATTGTGTAATTCTGGTCTCATCAATGGTCTCTGGAAGTCTTTCTCTTGTTTTCATGTTAAAAGAGGAAACGTAAAATCTGTATTTATTCTAAATAGAAGTGCAATTAGATTTACTGATGTTTTGATACTTCTTGGAAGTTGTCAAAACAATTAGGTTTTACAGTAATGTCAGATTCTTTACTGTTATGCACAGGGTCCCAGTTACATCCATCAGTAAAATGTAAAAGAAAAACAGTAATAAGATCTAAGAAAAACATCAACTAAATGATACACTAAGCACTAGTAGCATAAAAACATTACGAACATGAACATGAGTCTGTGTGAGCAGATGAGCACGCATGAACACATCAACATGAAGCAGATCAGCAGCAACATTGAAACATCAGCAGCAGCATGATGTCATTTTTTCACAGTGATTATTCTGGTTAGAGATTCATGTGTCAGCCTCAGGGTAGAAGCTGTTCCTCAGTCTAGTGGTTCTACACTTAATGCTCCTTAACCTCCTTCCTGAGGGGAGCGGGACAATAAGTGTGTGTGCTGGGTGAGTGGGGTCCTTCATGATGCAGGTGGCCCTCTTCCTGCAACTAGAAGTGTAGATAGATGTCTGTGATGGGGAGGCTGACTCCAACAGATGTCCAATGTCAAGTTGTTCTTTAATTTAAATTTTTTTTTTAACGTTTTTCACCTCCACTTGTGTAGTTAATCTCTATACTAACTCAAAAACAATGTTACAATTACTTTATAAAAACATGAAATTGTATAAAGAAAAAAAAATCACCATATACGATAAGTAGTTTAATTAGAAAAATTCTACCTTGAATAAAAATAAAGATCCTGTCATATTTATATTGTTCTTTTTAAAAAAAAATCTTTAAATGTAACATGCAATGCAGAACAAGTGAAAAATAACAAATGCATATTATTTACTTCATTAGGAATTAATAATAACCAGCTGGTTTGAACGTTTTAGAAGTTTTAGCTTCTCTCCATTGGCTTCCTGTCAAATCCAGAACTGAATTCAAAATCTTAATTCTAACCTACAAAGCCCTCAACAACCTAGCTCCATCTTATATTCGAGATCTTATTGTTCCATATTATTTTCCCAACAGAGCACTTCGCTCTCAAACTGAATGTCTCTTCAAAAGCAGACTTTTATTGAAATTGTTTTTTTGGGGGGGAACATTCAAGTAGGTTTTCAAACGACTCCAAGGAGGAAAGACATCAATCGAGATTCTGTTTCTGCACATCACTGCGTGTGCATTTCCAAACAAAATAAAAATACTGCTGTTCTATAGTGAGAAATGATGTTTGCAAGTAAAATAATTTGAGATGGAGGTCCTCTCAGGAGTAGAAGTCTGGCATGTCATGTGCTACATCTCAGACTCGTATTACATAAAAATGGTTTTACCTTTAGAGAAAAAAAAAATCTAAAGAGTGTGGCTTGTTTGAAAGCATCTTCTCTTTAAAAAGGAACATTAGCATTTACGATATTTAGCTTACAGGTTGGAGTCCGAGACATACTCAGAGTGCAGTAGGGTATTTCAAACATAATTTATTCTATAAATACATTGATGATTATTCAGATATTTTAATTTTGTTGTCCATAGAAATTGTATTCCGCCATTATTGCCTTTTTAATGGATCACGGCACGTTTTCTTGCCGAAGACCGTAGATTGCATTTTGTTGTTCCTTCAAAATAAACCATGATGGCAGAAAGAACCACTGGATCACAGGCAGGTAGATCTGACAATCATCCGCATAACAATGGAATGAAAGACCGCGTTTCCTCAAGATGGACCCTAGTGGGAGTAAATAGTGAGAACAGAAGTGGTCCAAGAATCGAACTCTGTGGGACCCCGCAAGAAAGAGGCAATGAGGCAGATACATTATTACCAACCTTGACACGTCGACTCCTCTGAGGCAGCCATAGCCAAAGTGGTTCAAAACATGAACCACTACTGATGAAGTCCTTTGGATGAAGGGCCAAATGTCTCAACAACAACAACAAAAAGAAACCGTCCTTTAAAAGCAGTTGCAAATTTATCACTCAGATTAACTTAAACCAAAAATAAAATGACGCATCAAAACGTTAGTATGAAAATATGTAGCAGATGAATGTTGCACTGTGATGTTTGAAGTGGATTTTATTGTCGTATCTTTTGCTTTAGAGGTTGAATAGATCATTTCCAAAGATCACCAAAAACACTGTAAGGCATCACAAGTTAGTAAAATGCCTAATTGTGAAGTTTGGTAATGACCTACTGACCACGCCTTGTTTACTAAATAAATATGAACCTTGTTGACGTGCACTTGTTATCACTGTCTATGTCCTGGAACTTGACCATTAGATCAGCACAGTTTGTGCAGGGAATTGAATAAAAGCTCCATTTTTGTCTAAAATTGGCCTTTGAGTCATTTTTACCACAGCGGTGTGGGGTTGTCTGAAGGAAAAGCCACGGCCGTTCTGCTTTGTGTTCCTCGTCTATTAAGGTTGTTGGTTGGGGTACAACTTATATTATCAGTTTAACTCGTGTAATGGTATTGGCTCAAGTATACACTGCACCGCCGTCTGAGTCATAACTTTGTCGTTTAAAATCTGTGTTGTCCCTGTGTGTGACTCTTCGTTTTGTCTTTGCTCTGTGCAGTTGGTGGAGCAAAGCGCATCTCGCTGGCGGGTGCCGCTGCCCCAGCTCAGGATCCTCGAAATAGCTCTCCGCTGTTTTTCTCAAGCCTCATCCTTCCTCCCAACGAACTGTGACCACGTGCAGCACACCATCAGTAGCCTGGCTTTGTAAGTACACTGACCTCACTTGAGCTTGTGCTCTCTTTTTTTTTTTGTCACGGACTCGTTTTATTTTGTCGCTCGTAATAGAAACGATGCTTCTGGGATGTAAAACTTGTCCTAATGAGATGATCTCACTAGGTATGTTTACATGGACATAAGTAACCGGATCAAATGGCCGGTCGGAATAAAAGTGTGTCATGTAAACACTCCGTTCGGGTTATTTTTTGTGTATTCGGCGCGATCCGATATAATTTGTGATCAGAACGAAACGGGTGGTTTACGCTTGATCTGTTCGTTTTTATCTGATCGTGAAAAACTGACCTGACTGTGCATGTGCGACTTTGCCATTTCCGCCTGGCTAATGCTAATAATATTAGCATGTCAGGGAAGTAAAACTGGTCGGTGAGCGACACATTTCTACTAGAAACTTTGAAAGAGCTCAAAATGATCTGTATTACCTGTAGATCAGTCAGGGAGAGCAGTAACGTCTCCACCATCATTAAAACCTGTCGCGGGTCCATTTTGGGCGCTCGGGTTTACATTCACCCCGGAAGTAGAACTTCTTCTTTGGTGTTTGTTTTTAAGGAGAGTTTACCACTCTGCGCATGTCAGTACTGCTGTTCAAAACAAAGCCCGCTGCATGTAAACACTTGTCATGAACAGATTGTGCCCATGTAAACGATACATTTGAATTATTTAATCTGAAAACATTTCAATACGGTCAAAAAATGTTGCGCATGTAAACATAGCTTGTGTTTCCTCTGAATTATTTGCCATGGTGGGGTGCTCATCTTGTCCCTGTTTTTGTCGGCCGGGTGAGAGTGACACGTCTGAGCCACGACTGTTTTTTTTTTTTTTTTTTGGGGGGGGGGGGGGGGGGGGGGGGAAGAGGGGCGGTGTCAGCGTGAGGGAAGAGGCTGCCTTTAGCTTTTTAGGTAGCGCACCTGTATTGCGAGCAGCTAGCTTAGCGTTACGTCAGTGCAGACAGGTGGTGGCGGGGGGGGGGGGGGGGCACGGTTTGGTAGACGGGGCGCTCGGTTCTGTTGACGGGGCGGGGCGCCCCTCTTGCATTATGGTAGGGGAAACGCTGCTCTCTTATTTGATGTTTTTGTTGAACTGTGTGTCAGTGTGAGCTTCAACTGGCTAAGCTAAACCCTCTAATATCATATTTGTACTTCATTAATAAACAGAGTCTACATTTTTGCTACATTGGTTATCTCTGGGAGCAAAAGTTCAGTCTGGATTAATAAAAACAAACATAATCAAGATGATGATAAGTTAGTGATTGTGAGTCATCTTCACCCTGGTATAAAAGCTAATCAGTGCGTCAGTTTAGCATCGTCTTATTATCAAGGTTGTTTGCTTTGCAGAGCGTTCCTCTCCAACAGCTCCAGTTGAACAAAACACTGGGAGCAAATATAAGACCCTAACATTTAGGGGTGCGAATCTCTGTGTCTGTGGCGATTCGATTCCCATTTTTGTTGTCACGATTCCATTCAGAAACGATTTTTCTATTGAAATGGTCATAAATTCTGTTTAAATGATGTAATTGACAAGATGACAAGTTGTAAACGTAATGGGATTAACCTGTCTAAATAAAGGTTGAATGGAAAACCCCCAAACATATAGAACATTTATTTAAAACAATAATTTTAGGTTCTTTACTATATCAAATCTTTTTGCATCATTTTATATTTATACCAAAATCAGGAACAAGTATAGGAGTGTATACAATTTTGTAACCTAAATTACCAGTATTGGGTTAGCTTGGCTGTCTGGCTTTGTCTAAAATAAATTTAAAAAAATCTAGGAACAAATAATTCATTCATCCATCATCTTTACCCACTTCTTCCTTTTTGGGTCATGGGGGTCACTGGTGCCCATGTCCAGCCATCACTGTGCGAGAGGTGGGGGACACCTGGACAGGTCCATCACAGACAAATAATTCAAAATATATAAATACAAAAGTAAACAGACTTCAGCGTACCATACATAGTACATTAACCTTTAACTCAAAATAAAATACAGACCAGGTTTTTTTTTTAACCATATTGCACCAACATTTGTTATATTTTCAAAACTTAACTTAATATGAAATATACAGACTTTAGTCTTGACCATATTAATTCATATTTGGTAAATATTTAACAAAATTTCAAAATCTTGTGCAAAAACTCTTCTGAACTGTAATAATTTATAAACTATATAAATTTGTATCATTTAGAACTGGCTCCAGGTGATGTGTCTCATCTGTCCTCTTCAACCTGTTAAAAAAACAAATTACATGAAGTTTGTACAACTTGTCTATAAGTTTTAAACCGTTACCTTTGAGCTGCAGCTGGTAGCATCGGCTTCTCCCACATTATTCTGTTCCATGGTGGAGTTGTGGCGCAGCTTTATCGCTAAAAAAAGCTCCATGAACGAATAACGTACGTTGGGTCCAACGTATTAAAAATAAACCTAAACCCCTCGCCATCGACCGAGCTGTCTGCTTGTAAATCATTTGAGATATAGCAGGAGATGCAGTGAGAAATCTTTGTTGCTCCAGAGTTCACTGGTCGGACGCTTCGCTTTTCATCTTCCTTCTGCGCATGTCGTCGTATTTCAAAAATACTGCACCGCATTTTAATTTTACACTTCTTGCAAACAACCGTGCTCTCGTTGAAGCTCTGTCTTCCCCGGAACGTTGCAAGATCTGAAATGACTTTACGCTGACTTTTAACAACGAAGGAGCGGGTTGAATCGCGCTGACCTCCTGCTCCATGCTAGCAGACTCCATTCAGATAAAGGGAGCAGGCTAGCTAGCTTGCTGTACGGTGGCCTACAAGGCCAAATTCTATGGTGGCTGAGTGGATGTGTAATGCGATATGCAGTATGCTCGGGTGTAGAAGCGGGGAAAAATAAGACTTAAATGCATTTTAAAATCGATTTATGGGCTTTTAGAATCGATTCAGAATCGCCAGGACTAAGAATCTAGTTTCTTTTTATGAATCCTTTTTTTTTTTCTGCTCCCCTAGTTCTTAATCTTAGTCTGCTTCTCTGGAGACACACAGAGTATCTGTAAACCGTAGGACTAAAGTAAAAGCTACACGTTTAATCTGTGTGTTTCTTGCTTAAATTTGTCACAGGAGTGTTTTTGAGTTGCTGCTGTACTTCACCCAGAAGGACTTCAGCGAAGAGCCGCTTCAAAACGTCGCCGCTACATTCCAGGTGAGCGCATTACCCCAACCCACTTCCACACAACCAGGAAGAGATGTTTGCAGACTTATACTGCCTGCAGCATCCACTTCTTCAAAGCTGTTTACAAATTCTTGGAAGTTCTCCTGAAATCCAATTGGTTAATAAAGGTTTTTTGGCACCACGGTGGAGTTTTCATAAAAGTCTGGCAAAATGCTCTGCTACAGCGCAGTCGGTGCACAACAAAACATCTAAATTAAAACAAGTTACAGGTTTGATGTGTGTGTGTGTGTGTGTGTGGGGGGGATTTTCGTTTTGAAATTGTGAAGGTAAATGAAGCTTTATGAGCTCAAATCTCTGAGGCAAAGGAGGATGTTATAAAAAATAATCAGTTCTCTCAGGGGTTCCCAACCCTGGTCCTTGAGGAACACCATCCTGCATGCTTTGGTTGTTTATCTGCTCCAACACACCTGATTTTAATAAATGGGCGCTCAACAGGCGTCTGCAGAACATGAAGTAATTAAATCACTGAATCTGGTGTATTGGAGCAGGGAAACAACTAGAACATTCAGGATGGTGTTCCTCAAGGACCAGGGCTGGGAACCCTAATGTTTTTTGTCTCATTTGTTTAGCTCGTCTACTTTTAGGACTTGTTTGAAAATCTGATGATGATTTGGGGTATATTTATTCAGAAATATAGAAAATTCGAGAGAGTTGACAAACATTCAAGCACCACGATAGCTGGTCTCACCACTGTCTTGATTTTTTTTTTTTTTTTTTTGACATTAAAAGTTAAAGCTTTTTCTTGTCATGTGTCCAAATCCTTGATGAAATAGGAATCTGTGAGTCTTTTGTTAACAATATGGTATTTAAGGCTTCTAATATTTGCAGCTCAACTAAGCTTCAATTGATTAATTGAAAAAACAGTTTGTTTTTAGAACATGCGTGAAGTGCGAGTTTAGTTATATAAATCATAGCATTTTAACGTGTTGTTCTTGTCCTTCTGCTTTTCCAGGAATGCCATTCGGCTCTAGCAAAGTATCAGAATGTTTACCTACTTCAAGTGGAGTGTATGGTCCAGGCCGGGGGTCCGTGGGCCAGTCCATCCTTACAGGCAATCCTCAGTGAACCCAGTTTACCTCAGAATGAAGGTCCGTCCATATTTGTACAAACACTTGACACAAATATAAAAACTTAATTTACAGATTAAATACAGTTTTGTTCATGTGACAAACCAAATCTTATTTTATGTTCCTTCCTTCAGTGGACGGCTACATCGGCTCTGAAATGCCCGTGTTTTTCGAGCTCCGCGTGCGCTACCTTTCGTTTTGCGGACGCGTTAGCGAGGCCGTGGCCCTGGCTAAATTTTGCGTTAAGCATCCTGCAGCAAGACAACACTTGTTCTTCCACCAGGTTTACCTCTCGTGGCTTTACAAAACGTTACAGCATGAACTCTTACAAAAAGAGGTGCGTGAACGGACTTTATGCAATAATAATTAAGCGGTGATGATTTTTGCCACAGTCTGTTGTGTATTTAGTTGCTACGCTTTTGTTTGCTGTTTTTAGGTGGCTGACGTTAATGGTAAAGATGCAGTACTCATAATCTGCAACTTGGAGTGTGAAGAAACAGACAAGCTGCTTTTAGCTCTCAGCACTGTTTTCCTGAGACAGCAACTCCAGAGAGGAGATATGTACTGTTTGTGGTAAGTAAACTGAATTTATTGCTAATGAAACTAGAGAAATTGCATTTCCTGCGAAAATGCAGTGTGAATGCTCATTGCTGAAGATTTTGCAGAAAAATGGCAAAAAATAGCTAAAAACGCTGAAATTAGCAAACTAGCTGAAAAGTAGCTGAAAAGGCTGAAATAAGTTTAAACTAGCAGAAAAACGCTGAAAGGAGCAGAAAGAAGCTCGATAGGCTGAAAATAACAGAAATTACCACAAAAAACTTGAATTCATCTGAAAACAGCTGAAATTAGCTAAAAATGTAGCTGAAAAGTTAGAACAAGCTTAAAGTAGCAGAAGAAATCAGAAAGAACACGTTTGCCCAATTAGGCTGAAAGAAGCAGAAATCAGCACAAAGTGGAAATTATCTGAAAAAAGCAGAAATGAACAAAAACAGCTAAAAAGTAGAAAGAAGCTTAAATTATCAAGAGAGTGGAGAGAGCACACTTGTGCCCAGTTAGGCTGAAAGAAGCAGAAATGAGCTCACAAAAAATGGAAAATGTCTGGAAAAAAGCATACATTTGAAGGGAACAAAACAGCTGAATAGTACCTAAAAACGCAAAAAGAAGCTTAATTGCCTAAAGGAAGTGGAAAGAGCACAGTTTTGCTAAATTAGGCTGAAAAAAATGTTGAAATGAGCGCAAAAAATGTGGAATTAGCTGAAAAAGCTAAAATTAGCATAAACAGCTACATAGTAGCTGAAATGGCAGAAATAGTTGAAACTTACAGAAATAAGCAGAAAGAAGTTAGAAGAAGCACAAAAATGTTGTAGTTAGCAGAACAAAACAGCTGAAAGTAGCTGAAAAAAGTTTAAATTGACACGAGGAAGCTGAAAGAAGCTGAACCAGAACAAAGTGAAGGGAGCAGTAAAAGTTTGTAAACAGCTAAAAATATGAAGGAGGTAAAATGAGCTCGGATCATTTCCTGTGATTGTAAAAGTGGCAGAAAAGGCTAAATATTTCAAAAAGCTAAAGTTGCACCAATACCAAAAATAGCAGGATTGTCCTGAACGTTTTGATGTACGAGTTGTTGAAATGGCACAAAAATTGTGGAACAAGAAAGATGTCGATAAACGTTCAGAAGAAAAATGGATCGCAATAGAGTGAATGCTTCACAAACATTCACACAATAAGGGATTTGTCTATGCATGTTTTTTGATGGTTCTCAATTTTTACAAAACATAACCTAAAGTGGTATTTAAGCGCAATAATTCCATATTTCTTCTGCTAATAAACCGCTGTTTAAACTTTTTTTATAGCGACCTAGTTCGTGTGTGGACTAATCTTCACAGTCGGTTAAAGACGTCCAAGCATGTTCTTCTAGAGGAGTGTCGTCAGCTGATGTTCTCAGCCACAAATGTTAAATCAATTTTCCCATTCATCAGAGCCATACTGCAAGAAGTAAGAGTGAGACTTTAAGTTATTATTATTTATATTTGATTAGATGTATGAGGAGATTTGGTATGAATGTGTTTACCTTGCCTTTCACTAGGTGGGTGATGATGGGATCCATTTCTGCGTGGAGCTCTGTGCTAACGCCCTGCAGTCTTGTCTTTCCTGTGACGTCCTCACAAAAACCCTCATCTACAAAACCATCGCCGGCTTGCTACCCGATGACCTGGAGGTCTGCCGGGCATGCGCTCTTCTTGTCTTCTTCTCGGAGCGCACGGTTGAATCCTACAAGATGGTTTACCTTCTATACATGCTCCCTGATCAGGAGTACCACGTGGACGACAGCCCAATAGGAAATAATGTTCGCTTTGAAACTCTCCAGGTAGATCTTATAATTTTTTTATATATAACATATTGGTAGAAAAAATGAGCAGCTAAAGATGCGTTTCCTGTTAGCAGTTTAGCATAATGCTAGGACAAACGTGCTTGGGCATCATTCACATATTTAATAATTGTCACGAGTGTTCAGAACATACTCTTTTTGGAGAACTGTCATTGACCTCGTTTATTTATGACACAATTCTGCAGCATCTTTATAGAAGAAACGCAAACTATATTTTTTTCTGACATTAAACATACACTCTTAAAACATTTAAATATTCAGAATATAAAAAGGGTCAACTTGTAGAGTTAAGTCAGGTCCTCTGGACGGATTTGTAAAAAATTGAAAAACGTTGAACGCACGGATCGCTGTTGAAAATGTGCTGGAAATAATTACTTCCAGCCTTAATTATAAAGGTGTGCTAAATGATATCCTGTAAGCTGATTTAATACAACACATATTTGATATTGATTAAATATATTTATGAAACCTACCATATTTATTAATATTATTAAAATATCTTTCGTAGACAAAGTTATGATTCCGTTTACGAATAAGAACTTGCGTGCTCTATCTCCGCCGATCTTCATGTTGCTAATTTACACTGAGCTGATTGACGATCAAAGTCTGCCATCTAGTGGTTGTTTTTATTTACGCAACTCTTCATTAACACTGAAATAAAGCACTTAAAAACCCTGCTATGGTTTCCATCAACATTACAAAACGTCACCCTAAATATGCGCTGCGTATCATTTTAACCAATGACGTAAATATGTCATTGATTTTAACGGCAATCCGAGTGGCGTAAATTAGCAACATGAAGATTAAATGTTGGGCTCTATGGGCTCTTTCAGTAACTGAAAAAATGAGACTGCAAATTCAAGCACCTAAAATACCATACCACTTTATTTATAAAGCACTTAAAAACGGCAACAAGGGCAACCAAAGTGCTCTACAGCAAAAACAAACAAGCAAAGCGCACAGGATAAAATACATAGATCCAAATGGGAAAAGATAAGAATTAAATAATTAACATTCTAGAACAGAGTCAAGTTAAAATCAGCTCACACAGTGTCAAAATCCAGAGAATAAAAGCGAGTTTTTAAACAAGACTTCAAAATGGAGAGAGGGAGCCTGTCTGACATGAAGTGGTAAGTCATTCCACAGTTTTGGACCTGCAACAGAGAATGGGTTACCTCAGCTTAAAACAAGTGCCTGAAACCAATAAAAGCATCTGGTCTGTTGACCTCAAAGAGCGCTGTAGGGCATATGGCTGCGGCAGATCAGTGAGATAGGAGGTGGCAGAACTGTTCAGAGATTTCAAAACATACAGAAGGATTTTTAAATGAATTTTAAAGTGAACCGGGAGCCAGTGAAGGCAGGCCAGAACTGGAGTAATGTGCTCTCTTCAGCCTGTACCAGTTATAAACTGGGCTGCAGCATTTTGACCCAGTTGTAAACGTGCAATAAAGGTCTGACTGATTCCAAATAGAAGTGCATTGCTGTAATCAAGTCTGGATGTTATGAAGGCAAAATGGCTGCCTTTACAGACCCTTTCCAAAAAATTAGAATATCATGGAAAAGTTGTTTAACTTCTGTAATTCCATTCAAAAAGTTAATATTTAATAGATGATAGATTCAGGGCCTACCATTAAAACAATTTCAAGTGTTTGTTTATTTTTACATAATTTGGGCTTTCAGCTCATGAAACCCATGAAAACAGAAATTCAAAAAATTAGAATACTGTGAGATCCAAATTTTGCAGGGCATGAATGTTTTAAACCGAGTGTGACACACTAATCATCTACTAAACTCCAAGCACCTGCACAGGTTTCCCCAGGTGTCATTAAATTGCTTCAGTTTGGTTCAGTTGTCTGTTTGGTTCAATATGGGGAAGACTGCAGAGATAACAACTGGCCAGAAGGCCATCATTGATGCCCTCCATAAGATGGGTAAGCCACAAAAGTTCATAGCTAAGGAGGCTGGCTGTTCACAGAGTGCTGTGTCCAAGCATAGCAATGGAAAGTCTAGTGGAAGGGCAAAATGTGGCAGGAGAAGATGCATCAGCAAAACAGATGACTGTGGGCTTCAGCAGATTATCAAACAGAGAAGATTTCAGAATCTGTCAGAGATCCAGAAAGAGTGGAATGAAGCGGGAGTCACAGCTTCAAAAACCACCACATTCAGATGCATCCGGGAGATGGACTACAACTATCGGGTTCCTCGGTCCTCTTTTCTGATGAAAGTAAAGTGTGCCTTTCATTCAGAAATTAAGGTCCAAGGATTTGGAGGAAGAAGGGTGAGGAACAGAGCCCATACTGCTTGAGGGCCAGTGTGAAATATCCACAGTCAGTCATGATATGGGGTGCAATGTCCGGTGCAGGTGTTGGTAAACAATGCTTTCTTAAATCCAAGGTCACTGCAACAGTCTACCAGCATGTTTTAGAGGACTTCATGGTTCCTTCTGCTGAGGATCTGTATGGAGATGCAGATTTCATCTTCCAGCAGGACCTGGCCCCTGCCCATGCCGCCAAAAGCACCAAACCCTGGTTTGATGCCCATGCCACAGTGCTTGACTGGCCAGCCAACCCACAGGACCTAAACCCCATTGAGAATCTATGGGGTGAGGAAAATGAGGGGCACCAGACCCAACAACAAAGAAGAGCTGACAGCAAGCATCAAGGAAATCTGGGCTTCCATAACTCCCAGTCAATGCCACAGACTGATTGTCTCAATGCCACGTCACATCGAGGCAGTGATTAAAGCAAAGGGATTCTCAACCAAGTATTGAAGTTTGACATATCGTTTTGAAAGAATCATATTTTGATTAATTTGTTGTGATCCTAATTTCTTTCTCTTTTTTTTCCTGCAAAAACTGAAATAGTGTGGGCTGATGTGTTCACAGTATTCTAATTTTTTTTTTAACTTGTTTTTGTGGGTTTCATGAGCTGGAAGCCCAAATTATGTAAAAATAAACAAATAAATACTTGAAATAATTTAAATTGTGGGCCCTGAATCTATCGTCTATTAAAGAATAACTTTTTGAATGGATTTCTGGAAGTTGAACAACTTTTCTATGATATTCTAATTTTTTGGAAAGGGTCTTTACAACAAAAAGCTCACTAACAAGGAGGCAAAGGCAAACGAAAGTCTTTGGGTCTCTGTTCAGGGTACTGGTCCTGTGACCCAGTTAGGGGGGTGGGGGACAATAGAAGCTAGAGAGATTGGAATGAGAGGAAAAATAATTGCTTTGAGCCATCAGCTTGACAAATGTGACATTAGCACACAATATTGTTTACTTTTTTATAATGAACCCCAAACACTGTTAGTTTTTGTATAAATCAAATCCAGTTACAAACTTTGACAAGATTTGCCTAAAGATTAGACTTGCAGATATTACAATTGCTTACTAAAATATTGATTTTAATAAAATATTACTATGAACCTGTACACATTAAGAACTTGATGTACAATAAGTAATTTTTTTTTTTTGCTTTCTTTTCTCAGATCTTGAAAAAGGATCTGTATTTCGACCCTGAGTTTTGGAACCTCGTGGCTTTGCGGACCAACTGTTTGAAATTGCTGAGCGAGAAGGTGGTTAGTGCTGCTCTGGAAGAAATCATGGAGGACAAATGGATCTCCAAGTATTCCACCAAAGAGTTCGCTCTCCGATCGTGCGCAACAGTTTGCCATAGAGGAGCTAGGAATAAACTTGATGATGCAACTAAGAAGCGACATCATCAAGACAAAGTTTATCAAAAAGAGTCAGACACCGCATCCAAAAGACTCAGGATAGGCACCAAGAAAACTCGCCTAAATGATCATTCTCTACGGAGGAAAAGCAACCAAGCCTTGAAGGAGTCTTCTGGTTATTTGAGGCGCTCGTTTTGGCAGCTGGACAGAATACACAATTTAACCTTGCGGTATGACGACCATAGACGGACTACAAGGCTCTCGGAGACAAACCTACCCAAACGGAAAATTAAAAAACCGAGGTGGCTCCTGGAGGACTCGGGAGCTCTCGAAGAGAACGTCCCACTGAAAATGAAAAGGAACGGCCTGCGTCAAGAAAAGCACCTTCGATCGTGCGTTGTGAAAAGATCTCAGACGGGTCCGATCAAGAACACCAAACACAAACCTTCAGTCAAAACGCTCCTCAAGGCACGAGAAAACGATTACCAGAATGGTTTTTCTTTAGACTGCTCTAAACCAACCCCCCCTCCACAAGTAGTTCTGGAGCTTTCTCTACCGGACAACGAACTGATGGATACGTTTATCGATGACGCTTGCAGCAAACCCCGGACTGTTCCTCAGGTACTTCTTTATAGATCAACTGTGAAATTTCCTGACACTTCACCACCTGGCAAGACTATTCACGGCAAAGAGGTGATTCTTCGAGCACGGGACGCTAATATGCTTGTGCACCAACTGCACTGCTACGCTCGGCGACAAAGGGGAAAAGGTAATGGCGCTAGTGTCCACGGGTCTGTATCAGTCATCACGCGTTCGTCAGCACAAGGAAGCCCTTCAAAGGATTCGCCAGGAGAGCTTTGTGAGAAGCCTGTTTCAGAGTTGGGAGTTGGTACTGTTGAAACGGGTAAACAGACTGAATCTCAAGCTCCTGATGAAGTTCTTAAAGATCAAAGTACAAAACCAGAGTTGCAACAAACTTCAGCTGTGGACCTCTTTGAAAACCCTCCAATACCTGACGCTGAAAACATTACAACATCTCCAGATGTGCTTAGGAGCACTCGTCAACCAACAGAAAGTGTTTTGGAAAGCAGCACTTGCACAAGAGACCTCCCTGAAAACTGTCCTACTGTGGAAGGTATCGTAGCGTCACTGACTTTAGCAGAAGAAATTATAGAAGAGCCACTTTTACACAACGCCTCCCAAGCTCAGACTGTTACAGCAGCAGGAGAGCCCTTCGAGGAGCCAGCTGTTGAAATGAAAGTCACCATCGCCTCACAATCTCCAGTTTTAGACAGAGTCCCCAAGTCTCCAACAGGAGAAGATGTCCCCACAGCCCAGGTATCGCAAACCACAAAGTTAGCCAAGAATAAGAAGGTGGCTGCTGATGAAATCCAGTCGGTTTCTATTAGTCCCAATGTTTCAAACACTGGAGCTTCAGATCCTCTAAACGGTCAAGATGTTGCTTTGGAAAGTAGAGACGAGAGCAAGAACGTTACAGCAGATGGTAGCAGTGTTTCCATGATGGACGTCGCAGACGATTCACAGAAAGACTCGCAAGTAAACGTGCCTTGTAAAAGTGACACTAGCCCAGTAAAAACAGTTGTCCAGCCATGTGAACCATCTGAAACAAACACTTCTGCTAACAAATCTAAAATAAGTGGCAAAACTGCTCCAACTGTTACCGATCTTGAGGAGCTTGATGATCACTTTAAAGATGAACGCCAAACTCCAGGCAGTAGGGTCTCCAAAGACTCGAGAGGTGGAAGTAAACCCAAAGCTGGTCAGAAAACACCAACTACCTCTACGTGCTCTGTATCAGAACAAGAAGTGTCTGTAGTTGACAGGCAAGAGATATGTGTTGAAGCAACACAGGATGCTCTTTTGGAAATGCCTGAAAACAGTGAGCTTATGGAAACGCTACCGGAACCAGAGGAATCAAAGTTGGAGCACTACTGCACGTTTTGCAGTAAGGACTTCAAGGGACCTCGTGTTGTAGAGCATGCAATGTTCCATTATCGTAAGGACGAGTGCACTTTTTGTAGGTTGATCTTCAAAGATGACCTGCTGGCCATGGTGCACCTCTCCGATCATATAGAAAAGCTAAAGAGGTGCAAAGATCAAGAAAACGAGGTCTCTGTCGCCAAAGATACCTCCACTCCTAAAACCACTGCCAAAGCAAAGACGACAAACCTGCCTTCGGGATGTCAGGGTAAAGGGAAAGGAAGGAAATTTAGCGTCTGTTCTGAAAGCATTGTGAACATAACCACATCGGAATCTAGAACGTTGCGATCTAATCTCAAACAAACCAGTGGCACGTCGTTACATGAACTTCAAAAACATGGTGATGCTGGTGCTGCTGCTCACAGGGTAAATGGCCATATTGGCCAAAAGACTGAAATTACCAGACTGACGAAAGATTTAGATAAAAATAAAGAGTTTGCGCAGCAAAAGAGTTCTCAAAGGAAGCGTGACGAAGAGGCAAGCTCGAGGTCGCATAGAAAACCTCTTGAGATGGATTCTTCAGTTCAGGTAGACCAAGACTTAAAGTCCAGAGAAAATGGAAAGGATCTGAAAATGGGCTCAAAACAAAATGTTGATGAAAAGAAAAATGCTAAACCGCAAGAGAAACTCTGTTGTCCCGCAGATGGATGCTCCTGGTTCGCGGACATATCAAAGAACAGAGTTACACTCTTGTACCACGCTCTGGAAAAGCATTACGGCGAGATCAAACCGCTGGAGCTAGCCTTCCGCGTGGCAGATAATAAATGCAGCATTTGCATGAGGGTTTTATTCAGCTTCGAGCACTTTCAGCACCACGTTAAAAGACACAGACTCGTTCCACGGCATCCATGCCTTCATCTCGGTTGCACAGAAAGGTTCAAAACTGGAATGGAAATGAGACGCCACGCTAGGAAGCACAGCCCGCTGCAGGCGACCTGCTGCCTCCCCGGATGTTCTAAACTGTTCATCTGTCTCTGGGCGCTGAACCTTCATGAAAAGGAGCATTATGCTTCCAAGCCAGTTAAACACGAGAAGAGCACAGATGTGCATACTGGTGACAAACTTTGTGAAACACCCAGTAAGAAACCGGTTTCAGAGGGCAACACAGAGTCCACTTCTGGATATGGTACAGAAAGCATAAAGGCTTCTCGTAGGTTAAGAGAACAGGCAACTAGTGACTCGACAAGAAAAATTACTGCGGATCCAGTTGTGTCTGCTAGCACAAGAGCTTCTAAAAGCAAGCCGGAAGTGAAAATCGAGACAAATTTTTCCAATACAGACACTTTTCAACCCTCTGTTTCTAATCTTAGATTAGGGCAAACATTAAGAAAAGTCCAAGCAACAAGCGCAAGTCTTAATGCGCCCAAAGTTCGTAAAATCACCTCGTCATCATTGTTGAAATACCGCAGCAAACTTAGGTGCAAGTTAAAGACGAAGCAGGGCAAGGTAAACGTAAGAGGTTGTATAGGACGACGGCGCCCTTCCAAAATGAGCAGAGCGGCGCACATTGAAAAGACTACTCGTGGTCAAAAGCATTCTTCTCAAGAAACTGTGAATATTAGAAGAGTGAGCGACAGGATAAAAGTCGTAAAAGAGACAAATCGAGAAGTCAAAACTGTAGAGAAGACGGCCGATGTTTCAAACTTAAAGAAATCGGAGGGAAAACCTATTCCGAAAAATCAAGTATGTTTGAATAAACATGCTATCTCAAAAAGCCTAAGGTCAATTCATGGTAAAATAAAAACATTTCAAACGATCAAAAATTCCCATGCCCCTTCAGATTCAAGCATATCGCAGAAAAACAAAATGACAAAAGCTATAATGAACAAAAAGGTCAACAAAAGTCAAAAACAAAATGTTTCGATGGCCTCAAAAAAGCCTGCCAAGCCTAAGTCCACCGTCCAGCAAAACGTAAAAAGTTCTGCAAGTAAAGTAAAAACTGAAGTAGAAGATTCAACGGAAATTCATCCTGATAGCTACCGTGCTACATCGCCAACAGAGACGACGACGAAGGACGAAAGAGAAGAGACCAAGATCTCAGTCGTCAAAAACGAAGAGAATGCGTTAACCGAGAAACATCCTAGTGAGAATAAAACCCCCACCTTAAAAACCATTTCTAAATCAAAGTGTGACCCCAAACAGCAGGACAAGGCTAAAGGAGCAGCAATGATTTTACAGGGATTGCAAAGACTTATAAAGAGCACTCTTGACGAGAAGGAAAAAAGAAAAGAGGCTTCCGCTCCATCCATACCCACCGATACCGTCAATAAGGCACGTTTGTCATCCGCCACCGAAGAAAACAAGCCAAAGCTAAACGGACGCGACCACGCTCAGAAACCCAGTGTTGAGAAAAACGAGTCTGGGGCTGACAAAGTCGGCAAGAAGCGCAAAAACGTTGGCAATGACGACGCAAAAACGGTTGCCAAGAAAAAAGGTAAACGTTCAGCCAAGAAAGGTGGAAAACCTTCAGCTGAAGCCCAGTCAGCGGCAGGAGAGAGTTCCGAATGCGAGGACAAAAATCCATCGGAAACGCCCTTTACTTCAAAGATGTCTGTCTGCTCTCACACCCTGAGCAGCGCAGTGCTGACTGACGACGCAACGTTTAAACCGTGCAAGGCGACGCTCGCCGAGTACAGCAAGAAGCCGTACATGCGTGTGCCACCATCGGTGTACCTGGATGAAAGGTTCATCACCATGCCGAAGCGAAGGAGGGATTTGTTACTCCACCGGAGTCAAGGAATGGTTTCTCCGGAACCGGTATGCGTGAAGCCTGCTCAGCAGAGGCATCGATGCGCTAACTGCTTCACTACTTTTATCAGTGCTGAGGAGCTGAGGAGCCACGTGGAGAGGCAGAAGTGCTCAAACCTCTTTGGATTTGACTCTGATGATGAGGGTGAGCGTGCATTCCGAGTGCAGTAGTCCCTTGATTATCGCGGGGGTTCCGTTCCGCACACTGCCGCAAAGTACGGACGTTGTATTTATTTTAGTATTTTATATATATTTTTAAAAGCTTTAGAACATTGCAGGAGTGTGAAAAGGGTTTATAAACTCTTAAACCTATGCAAATTTAACAACATATGTATAGGGCTGAGCGATACGGACCGAAATTAATATCTCGATATTTTAAGATGAATGGCGATATACGATAAATATCGATATTTTTCTTTCCATAAAGTAATAACAAAACCATATTTCTGAGTTGAAGCTTTTGTCCCAGTTATCACACAGGCACATTTAGTAACAAATGGCTGTAAGTAACTGTAAAAAAAATAAATGTCTAAAAAAATAAACTATTAATATTAAATAATAATCCTCTTCTGCTGCGCCGCCTTCACACGTTAGTATGAAGCTACAGCTGTAGCGCCAACTGACTTCAGCCTCCTTCCCTGAGACAAACACGGTACAAAACTCGTTTAGCCGTGCTGTGCGTTAGGAGAGGAACAGTGAGGGGTAGCATTAATGAAGTAGTGGCTTGTATCGCTAAAGACACGGTCCGTAGCAGCTAACAGGACTGCTAACTTTAGCCATCTTGTTCCACAGTTGAGACCGGGACCGTGCCTTTAACGATATGATAAGCTGCTGCTTTATTAATGTTGCGCTACCTCTCACTGTTCCTCTCCTAACGCACAGCACGGAGTTTTGTACCGTGGTTTGTCTCAGGGAAGGAGGCTGAAGTCGGTCGGAGCTGCAGCTTCACACACGCTTCATACTCCACTTATGGCGCTGTTTTAAATGGTGAAAAAGATGCGTAGTGCCGACCTTTTGTCGGGACTTTTTTCAGCATTGTCTACAGAAAACATTTTTCTGCTGCTCATCTGACAATTTAAATCCAAACCATCTCCAAATGACCATTATTTTTCTTTTTGCTCAGCTGCTCTCCGATATCCTGTCAGTGTTTACTTGTGCTAAAATCCCGCCCACCTGTAGAAGCAGGAAGTGGTGAGGGACAGGGTTTGTAGTGAGGGAGAAGGGGGGGCCATGTGCAGTTGATGCAGATGGGAGAAAAAGTACTACACGAATTTTCAAATTTAATTATAACTCGATGTAGAAATATTGATATAGACGATATAGCCCCATCTGTTGCATATGAAGTCATCAATATTTTTAATATATCTCTCAGCCCTATCCACCCTGCAGCAACAAAGCCATGTGCGTGGATAATCGAGCTTCAGGATTATTTGCAACTTTCCTGCCTGTTCTGTGAGCTTAATAGATCGATCGTTACTTCTGACTTTGCATTGCAAAACTTCCCCTCCGTTTCGGCAAAAAAAAAGCGTCCGGAAGCACTGTTGGCTTCTGGGTAGTGTAGTTCTTTAGACCTGCATCAAGTATAGGTTCATTGAAAGAAAACTACAAAATGGCAGTGCCTGTCCCAAGTATTTTTTTCGTTGGCGTTCTCATCTCGTATTGTCCCAATCACGTGAGTAATATTAAAGTTGACCGTCCTGTGTCGTGTACAATCTTGCGTTGAAAAACCGCGAAAGAGCGAGTCCGCAAAAGTCGAACCGCGAAGTAGCGAGGGACTACTGTACTGTAATCTGGTAATCTGACCATCAAAGGCAGCAGATGTGTTTCTGTTCTCACCTGGTTTTGTTGCCGTTTCAGGTAGCGGCTGAATACGTCGACATCTACAGAGGTTTTGGAAGGTGAACGGACCTGCGGACCTGTTTTGGAGTCCAAGGATGAATCGTACCTCTACAGATCAGTGCCGTCTGGATGAAGACTTGGCACGCATGCAGACTCTAAACTTCCAGGGTTCCCAGCAGTTTCCCTACAGCGTGCGTCTGTCGTGCCTTGCCTGAGAGCAGACGCACACAAAAAACTACTGAACGGACCCCCCCAGTGGACAGCTCGTGTTGAAGTGCCTGCTCTGGAACCGCCGTGCTGTTTTCCAGCTGCGTGTACAAAGATTTAGCAGTTTGGATTGTCGAAAGCTGCAGACATAATAAACCGACGCAAATCTACACGTTTTTCATGACAGTAAGCCATACATTGGTTGCTTTTTGCACTCATGGGAATCTGATTTGTACTTCCGTTCTGGTTCTTGTAGAATGAAAGAAGCATTGAAACATTCGAACTGTTTTACCATTTGGAGGTCGTAGGAAATTTAATATCGCTGTATAAAAGTCTTTAAGAAATTTTTTACGTGTAAATCTTGTTTAAATATTGTATTAAAAATGTTCCTTACGGGGCGTATTTGTTCTACGATGCTTGCTCTTACGACGAGTAACCAGTAGGGGGCGGTGCACACCAACGTGAGTCACATGGTAACAGCTTTTCGGTTTTGACAAAAAAAAAATGTGATTTTTATATTTTTTGCATCAACACGCTTTCTAACTTACAAAGCAACTTTAATTCACTAACTGTTCAATATTTAATTTTTAATCACATGCAAATGCTGAGGTTTTTTTTTAACAAATCACAATTTGTGCACAAATTTATCCTTACATGTATTAATTTTAATATTTACAGTTTCTGTGATATTCAGGTTTATGTTTTCTTCATTACAAGCAGAGCAATCACTTTAAGTGAATTTTCTTACTTAGGATTTCGAAGTGTTGCCATAAGGTGGCATGTCTTGTGAGCAGCAGCAGCAGATACTATTTATTTAAGTTTTATTTTTTATCTTCTTTTTTTTTTTTTTTTTATATTTGAAGGTTTTCAATTTGCCTGTTTATTATTATTATTATAATGGGATGCAGGAGCTGGGTTTATATTTTGTTCTTCCAAGGAAACAAAATAAAATGTTTAAAATTGCGTCGGCTGGTGGTTTAGCTGTAAAGTTGGATATAAAGCGAATGCTTGTGATGCATAACTGCAGCTGTAGACGTGTGGGGTGTCGAACTCCATTATCAAAAGGAGCCAACATTTTAAAAGCTCCAAGGCATGGACCACTGTGAGCTGATGCATTAACTCGAGTATCGTTTCTCGTTTGCAGGTTCATGAACAAGAGTTTGAGCTGTTGCTCTTTCCACATCGGAATCCATCATGATAGAATGATCCAGCCGTGTTTCTGGCTTCAAAGTTAGCCAGCTGCCAAGAGAAGTCTTAACTAAATGATGTTTATCAATTTAAAGAAGAAATGAGAAGATCTATGATATTTTGCATTTAAATTATCAAATTGGGGGGGACCAGATTTGGCCCGCGGCTCTTGAGTTTGACATGTGGCAGGATTCTCAGTCGTTCTAAACCGATGGATTTACTCACAAACTAAAATTAGATTTTCACAAACGTTTCACGTGTCAGTTTAGCAGTAGTGAATTGCAACGCCGGACACGTATAAATACTTCGGCTGCTATTCTTGATTTGACCTTTGTCAACTTAATACTTAAATGTTATGCAATGACTGTTTTTAGCCATGTGATGCTTTAAAAAAATATTAGACTGAATTTCTTTTCTGTATGAATTAAATCCTGTTCGACTTTCAATTGTGCAAAAACAAAGATATTAAAAGTAAAAAACAATTGGAAATAGAGTCAATATCTTACCTGTTGCTCACCCATAGGCCTGATCCCCCCACTCCCAAAAAAAATAGAAGTTTAAGTGTACTACAAGTATACTTATTTTACACTAAAAATGAGGAAGTGTACTTGAAGTTTACTTTTTATCAACTTTATTTGAAATACTTAAAAATAGTATAAAAATTGTCCAATTTAGTCCAAACGTATTAAATTAGTATACTTTCTAGTACACTACAAGTATGATAGTATACTTGATATACTTAAAGTACAAACCGGATTCCAAAAAATTTGGGACACTAAACAAATTGTGAATAAAAACTGAATGCAATGATGTGGAGATGGCAAATGTCAATATTTTATTCGTAATATAACATGGATGACAGATCAGAAGTTTAATCTGAGTAAATGTAACATTTTAAAGGAAAAATGTTGATTCAAAATTTCAGTGTCAACAAATCCCAAAAAAGTTGGGACAAGTAGCAATAAGTGGCTGGAAAAAGGAAATTGAGCATATAACGAACATCTGGAAGACCAATTAACTCTAATTAGGTCAATTGACAACATGATTGGGTATAAAAAGAGCTTCTCGGAGTGTCAGTGTCTCTTAGAAGCCAAGATGGTAAGAGGATCAATTCCACCATTGTTGCGCAGAAAGATATTGCAGCAATACCAGAATGGTGTAACCCAGCGTAAAATAGCAAAGACTTTTAAGTTATCATCATCAACCGTGCATAACATCATCAAAAGATTCAGAGAATCTGGAACAATCGCTGTACGTAAGGGTCAAGTCCGTAAAACTCTACTGGATGCTCATGATCTCAGGGCCCTTAAACGTCACTGCACCTCAAACAGGAATGCCACTGTCAAGGAAATAACAGAATGGGCTCAGGAGTACTTCCAGAAAGCATTGTCAGTGAACACAATCCACCGTGCCATCCGCCGTTGCCAGCTGAAACTCTACAGTGCAAAGAGGAAGCCATTTCTAAGCAAGCTCCACAAGCTCAGACGTTTGCACTGGGCCACGGGTCATTTAAAATGGAGTGTGGCAAAATGGAAGACTGTTCTGTGGTCAGATGAGTCACGATTTGAAGTTCTTTATGGAACACTGGGATGCCATGTCATCCGGACCAGAGAGGACAAGGATAGCCCAAGTTGTTGTCAACGCTCCGTTCAGAAGCCTGCATCACTGATGGTATAGGGTTGCATGGGCAGCTTGCATGTCTAGAAAGGCACCATTAATGCAGAGAACTATGTTCAGGTTCTAGAACAACATATGCTCCCATCTAGACGTCATCTCTTTCAGGGAAGACCCTGCATTTTTCAACACGATAATGCCAGACCACATTCTGCAGCAATCACAACATCATGGCTACGTAGGAGAAGGATCCGGGTACTGAAATGGCCAGCCTGCAGTCCAGATCTTTCACCTATAGAGAACATTTGGCGCATCATAAAGAGGAAGGTGCGACAAAGAAGGCCCAAGACGATTGAACAGTTAGAGGCCTGTATTAGACATGAATGGGAGAGCATTCCTATTTCTAAACTTGAGAAACTGGTCTCCTCTGTCCCCAGACGTCTGTTGAGTGTTGTAAGAAGAAGGGGGGATGCCACACAGTGGTAAAAATGGACTTGTCCCAACTTTTTTGGGATTTGTTGACGCCATGAAATTTGGAAACAACTGATTTTTCCCTTAAAATGATACATTCTCTCAGTTTAAACTTTTGATCTGTGATTTATGTTCTATTCTGAATAAAATATTAGATGTTGGCACCTCCACATCATTGCATTCAGTTTTTATTCACAATTTGTTTAGTGTCCCAACTTTTTTGGAATCCAGTTTGTACTTGCAAAAATTAACTTCAAAAATATACTACTTTTTGTTAAGGGCCGGGCCACCAGTTGAATCGCCCTGCTGTATACAGTCCCCTCCAAAAGTACTGGAACAGCAATATATAATATATAACTGAATATATTTGGGTTTAAGATCAAAAGATGAGCACGAGACGAGTTCCGAACTTCATCTCTCCTCGTATTTTCACATTTAGATGTGTTAACCAGTTCAGGACTGGTTTGAACCCACACATTTTTCAAGTGATCAAAACTACTGGAACGTGACTGACAGGCGTTTCCTTTTAGGTTCATTGTTCAAACATTAAAAATCTCTGCGTGACGGGGTTTAAACCTGTAACGACCGCATTTCTTGTTAAACATGACGACCAGAGCGCTGTGGGAGAAAAGACGGGAAATCAATCAGAGCCATTGGACAAACATTTAGCACAGCGAGCGCAACTTGGAATGTCCTGAAAAACAAAGAAACTACCGGAGTACTGCGCTACAGACGTCGAACAGGTCGGCCAAGGAAAACAACAGTAGTTGACAGAAATATGAGCTGTAAAGAAAACCCCACACACAGTAACGTAGGGCTGAATGAAGGTACAACAAGCCACTATTTGAAAAGAGAGCAGAAATATAGAGGCCAGATATTAAATATTAACAAAAAGTAGTACATTTGAAGTTCATTTTTTGCAAGTATACTTTAAGTTAAGTATAAGTATATCAAGTATACTACACACCATGTACTTGTAGTGTACTAGAAAGTATACTGAAGTTGTACGGACTAAATTGGGACATTTTTAGTTTATAAAAAGTATACTTCAAGTATATCCAATAATTCTCAGTCAGGTCATCTGGACAGTTTCTTTTTTATAGAGCCGTTTCGCCCTCTATCCAGAGGGCTTCTTCAGTCAGAGGAGTTCCAGTAAACTGTTTCCCCACAAACCAGTAAACTCCTTAAGTGGACCAACCAGTTTGCTGGAGTTGGTTTCTGGGGGCCACCCTGTCCCTCGTCGACTCCTCCCAGACAGGAAGCCACAGCCAAAGTGGTTCAAGGCGACAAAGTTCATGCTCAATCATCCAGGTACCAAATCCAATAATGACCCGACTAAGAATTATTGGATTTGGTACCTGGATGATTGAGCATGAACTTTGTTTACTTCAAGTATACTGTTGTAAGGTCTTTTTAAGGTTACCAAATTATATATTCAAGTACACTCATCTATATAATACTAGTGTACTACGTATATACTTGTGGGTCGCATTTTAGTTAGTTGAAGTACATTTAAAGTATACCACAAGTATACTTTTCTCTATACTGCCATTGCACTAGTTATATACTTCTAGTCCACATTTCAGTTTATTAAAGT